TTCGTGATTTTACCTTGGACCCATGCTCATCCCTATCACTTGGTCACTTGAGAGCATGTGATTGACTTTCTCCAATAAGAATTCCACCGGTGTTGACATCTTTGAAAATCATAATGATTTTTTTGCTTAAATTGAGATATTGCGGGGCAACTTGCAACGTTCTCAAAAACCTAGGGCGCAAATATTAATTTTACCCCAAAAATTAAGATGGGAAATGAGACTACTCGACAAAGGATATAACCGTAACAAAGCTTGTGTCAGGCGGGCATTTGGGTGAAGAGCTTGTATTCGAGATCCAGATCCATTAGTTAACGAAGAAAAACCCTAGACCTGAAATCAAGAAATTTATTTGTTCATTTAAGATACAAATATGTTTAACAAATAAATCGAAACAACAAAAACCAAAATCGAACCTAGAATACAAATGCATCCATACTTTTTTCGAAATCCGAAAAAAAAATCGGAAATTATTAACTACCCCAATTAATCCCGATTTGCGTCATGAAAATAAACTCCAAATCAAGTGGATACCAAAGGATTTGGATCAGACCCAACCCGCACTTGATATTTATAAAGTAAGCTGATCCAACATCAAAATAAATCCAAAATTGAAAGTTATATGATAGACTAAGGGTGCGCATGACAATGTTCCTATGTCGGGGAACTATTTCTACTCAGAAATGGTTCTTTTTTATTCTGTGCCCGGAAACAATTTCTAAGCATTTGAAGGCGTTTGGTAACTGTCTAAAATTTCTATTCCTGGAATAGAAAAGAACAGAAATGCGTTTGCTAACTACACAAAATTTCTTGTTATTAATAATAGTTTAATAATATTTTGAATTGTTTATTTTTTTTTCTTTCTACCCAGGCCATGGCCGGTCGCCAGCGACCGGCGGCCGGCGGAGGCGAGGGTCCCCCCTGCCGGCGAGGGCGAGGGCTGGACCCTCGCCGCTGAGGCGGGCGGCTCGCCATCGGTCATGGCGAGGTCGGCCTCGCCCGGATCTGGCGGGCGAGCCTCGCCGTCACGACCCACGGCGAAGCCGACCTCGCCGTGGGTCACGACGGCGAGGCTCGGCCTCGCCAGATCTGGGCGAGGCCGACCTCGCCATGACCGACGGCGAGCCGCCTCGCCCAGGCGGCGAGGGTCCAGCCCTCGCCCTCGCCGGCAGGGGGGACCCTCGCCTCCGCCGGCCCTGGGCTGTGGCCGGTCGCCGGCGACCGGCCACAACCCAAGAAGAGCAACACAAAAAGAAGAAAAGAAAAAAAAGAAAAAGAAGAAAAAAAACTGATTCTCAAAATTATGCCGAGAAACAAGAAGCAACTTTTTTTTACTTCTTGTTTCTCTTCCAAAACTGTTTCTCGGCACAAATTTTTGCAAAAATGTGCCCGGGAACAAAAAGTTTACCAAACGCATTTCTGTTCCCAAACTATTTCTGGGAACAAAAGAACAAATTTTTACTGTTTGGCACGTTACCAAACGGGCCCTAATTCTTATGTTGTAAGTAATTCTTAGTCTTTTTTTCGTGAAAAACATAAATTTGAGCTATTCATGATAAAGTGTCTCGACACTTGGGCTTCATTTGTTTCGCGAAAGATAAAAGATTTAGAAAATATTTTCATAAAAATTATCGCTTGTATCACTTGCAAAAGTGAACGAAGGAAAATATTTTCATTATCCATGAAAATATTTATAAACATAAATTGTTGTTAGTAATGAAAATATTTTTTATTAATTAATTATTTTAAGTGATATAAGTACTCATTTTAAGGAAAATATTTTTCGAATCATTCATTTTTCGTGAAACAAACTTATCTTAGTAAAAGGTAATCGTCCATAGTAAAATTTTCGGAAATGAAAGACAACCAGAAATTAGTATAAATGTAGCAAAGACCTAAACCAGTCCCGACTTGCGTTGAAAAAATAAACATGAAATGAACTTTATCCTTGAAACTCAAAATATATATATATATTTTTTTTTTGAAGAAAGTGATGAACAGCACATAGATGGTGTACCACTGTTTTTGAAATGTGAACACACATGCGGAAACACAATTTCCTATCAAACAAAAATCAAAAGAGTTCAAAAGATAAAAGAGATGCAAATCACATTTTTTGTTGTTCAGATTTCTACTTAGCCTATTCGACTCTCCCAGCTCTAATGACCTCAAATAAGGCTATATAATTCACTATGGGCAAAAGTACACCAGAAGTGCCATAACTTGTGTACGGCGATCACTTTGGTGCTATAACTTTTTTTCGGATCACTTTGGTGCCTAGTCGGAGGAAAAGAGATCACTTTAGTGCCAATTTGGCCGGAAATCCGTCGTGGCATTTTTTTATTAATTTTTGACGCCGATGTGGCTCACCGGAGGCTGAGTCAGCGTGTACAGTCAGCATTTTTTATTTTAAATAATTTTTTCGAGCGTGTACAGTCAGCATTTTTTATTTTATATATTTTTTTTCCTTTTTTTTCTCTTCTTTCCTTTTTCTTTTCTTTTCTTTTTTTTCTTTTCTCCCCTCGCCGGCCGGTTGCCCCGGCCACCGACGAAGCCTGGGAAGGGCTGGGCGAGGGTGGTCTTGCCCATGGCCGGCGAGGGCTTCCCTCACCCGACGCCGGCGAGGGTCGCCCTCGCCAGATCCGGCGAGGGCAGGCCTCGCCTGGGCCGGCGAGGGGCGGCCTCGCCTGTCGCCGGCGAGGCCGCCCCTCGCCGGCCATGGGCAAGGCCGCCCTCGCCCAGCCCTTCCCGGGCTTCGCCGGTGGCCGGCCGGCCACCGGCAACCGGCCGGCGAGGGGAGAAAAGAAAAAAAAGAAAAGAAAAGAAAAAGGAAAGAAGAGGAAAAAAAAAGGAAAAAAAATATTTAAAATTAAAAATGCTAACTGTACACGCTGACTCAGCCTCCGGCGAGCCACGTCGGCGGCAAAAATTAATAAAAAATGCCACGTCGGATTTCCGGCCAAATTGACACTAAAGTGATCTCTTTTCCTCCGACTTAGCACCAAAGTGATCTGAAAAAAAGTTATGGCACCAAAATGATCGCCGTACACAAGTTATGGCACTTCTGGTGTACTTTTGCCATTCACTATGTAATCCTAGATGTGTTACAGCTTGTAGAAAGTGTGCTACTTCTACTTGAACCTTCAATTGCTTTCCCAAACTTGAGCGCCTTTTATTACATTATATTATTCTCTTTCCAAATTACAAATATTCATGCCTCTTACAAAGATTTACAATTACGAATCACTTTACAGTACATAAAGAAAAGCAAGAAAATTCAATGCAAGAGAGAATTCGTAAGCTTTGCCCACATCACCAACAACTTTAACATATTTATAAAGACTTCCAAGCTTCAAAATACGAATTGGAAGCTTTGTTCAGTCAAGGTCTGACCTACTTTGACCACCAGAGCCACTTTCTACGCCATCAAAACCTCTTTCTAAGGAGCGTAGAAGGTGATTTCCCAAAATAGAACACTGCTTCTACAATCTTCTTGACATTTTTCCTGCAAAATAGCAAAAACATGTTCCATTCACTCCAAGTTATTTTGAGCAGGTTCTAACCCTTATAGATAGCTGTGAAACAACAATTTGAGTCCAATTCAAATTATAAAGACTTGGGTCTTTCCGCTTGGACATGGAGGCTCATATGTGGAACCATTTATTTCGTCTAGCATGAGCTGCTTCTGCAAAACGGTCCTTTCAGATTTTTTACGAAATTTCGTCATATGGTCTGTTCACCTTATAAAAACAGGGTATTCCAAGCAAATTAACGTCCTCGTTATCTGTAAACTATTCACCTTCTATTAGTCCATCCGAGTTTTAATGAACTCTGTTCTAGAGCTTGCTCTCCTTCCGCAAAGGTCCTTCAGGCTTAGCCCCATTTTGCGTTTAATAGTTTGTTCTCATTCTGCAGAGCCAAAGCCATTCGATGCTTTGGACGTCCTGTTGTCGATTCCATTTGCATTTGACTTGTCTCTATAGAGGTTGTTCATACTACACACTCAAATATACTTGTTAGCAGCTTTAGATTATTTCGTAATCTTTGAGACGCTCATATGGGATTTTCTCAACAGTTATCCTCTTTTTGATTATGACAAAACAATCTCTAACCTTTGTAGATTGCATTGCAGCTTTCTTAACCATTAGTGCAAATCAACAACTTTTAAACATCTCAAAAGTTACCCAGCCTTTTATAGTTGTATCAAAAATAGCATTCCTTATTATTCTAACCATTCTTGCCGTCACCTATTCTACGTATTAGCCATAAATCAATGCGAGTTCAACATACATAAGTGTGATAGCACAATTGAAAGGCATAGAAATTTTCAATGACATTGCTTGACATGATTGTAAAACTTGATTATAACAAGCGAACTCGAATTGCCAATTCTAATTTTATCTCGGTCTAGTACTAAGGGCAACATTTAATTCGCGACAAACTCACGGTAACTCCTCACCTTCATTAACTCCACCTTCTCGTCTTTGTCGGCTCTAATTTCAAGTTAATTTTGCGGTGAAGAATAAGCTACTTAATGTCGGTTTGGAGAGGGTAACAATTGCTGATGTGCACAATCAGCATAATGACAACCACGTTATTTGATATGTGGAATAGAAGACGGCGAGAATAGAAGGAATATTAATGGAGCGTAAATAGTGCAGCAATGGTAAAAGATATTGTGCTTTTCGAGACATGTAAAAGTTTGTGCTAAATTTATAGTAATCGTAAAAGATTGTCTACGTTTCCGAGACATTGAAAGTTTCTCTTGGCTCATGTTCCGTGAAAAACGAATTATTGGGAAATATTTTTTTTTAAATGATTGCTCGTATCGCTTACAAAAAAAATAAAAAATATTTTCATTATCTACGAAAATATTTTGAATTAAATTATCGTTAATAATATAGATATTTTTTATTAACTAATTATTTAAAGCGATATTAAGAAAATATTTTCTAAAACGTCGTATTTTATTTTTGATTTTTTTAGCCAATTTGCCCTTGCCCTAGTGAGTCCGCAAAGCCCTCGCTCGTTCCCCAGAAAATCTGGAATCAGAAGAACCGGAGACCCAAGAGACAGAGTATGGCGCGCAGCATCTCCTACGTCACCGGCGCCCAGCTTCTATCACTGCGGCGCCGCCCCAACATCGCCATCGTCGACGTCCGGTGAGCTCGAACATCGCCTTCTGGTCTCTCCATCCCCGCGTCTCTGTTGGGTTTTCTTTCTTTTTCTCATCGAGGGGGAATTCCGTTTGATCCAGGGACGAGGAGAGGAGCTACGACGGCCACATACCGGGGTCCCTGCACTACGCGAGCGGCAGCTTCTCCGACAAGATCGCCGATCTCGTTCGGGACGTCGAGGGGAAGGACACCCTCGTTTTCCATTGCGCCCTAAGCCAGGTTTCTTGGTTTTGATTGTTCAAGCGCCTTCTCCTATGTCCAGCTGTTCTCTTTATCCTATATAGTTTTTAAGTGATGTCGTCGTTTGATTGGCCGCAAAGCGAAATCTTGATGGTGGGTCGACATGATCTGGTTGTTTGGAGAAATGGGAAATTGGTAGTTACGATGATACCTGTCTAAGCATACTAGTTGAGTTGAGTTGAGTTTTTGATAGACTCAACAGCAAGTTACTAACTCAAATTGGGTATGTTTGTGATGTTAATTCACTGTCGTCTCGAAACGGATATTGTCGCCAATGTTGGTTAGTGCCTGTCCTGTCTTGCATTCTCGTGTTGTGGTGGAGAGTAAATTGTCTACCTTGGAACATTGAGGAAACTTCAGGAACAAGCTGATAAACCTTGTGAATTAGTCCGGAGTAGGTAAATCCTGATTCCCCTCAAGTTTCCATGAGTGTGAAAGATGAAAAAAAGAAAGAAAGCTGCGGGTGTGGGTAAGGCTTCCTTACATAGTCATGGGAACTGAAAACGTGGACTTCTGCACTCTTGTCGTTTTGGGGGGGCACGGGGAGATGGGGGATTCATCCTGTTTCCACCTGTTTGTGATCTGAAAATGCGGACTGCAATTGCTGGAGTTGACCTTAAAACCTGCGTCTGAAAACTTGGTTGGACAAGATGCATTTATTTGTCACTAAATGAACTTAAGGTTATAACTCTGGGAATGAGATGATATCTTGAGGCTGACTTTCTCTTTCAGTGTTGTGCATGTTTCACAGGGTTGGCAAACTGTCTTTATTGTCGATGATGCCTAATAAATATTGCGAAGCATGATCAGATGGGAGTTGTCTAGCTAATCTTAAATTCTTTGTTCTCCCCACCCAACATTAAGTGCTTTGCCTTTTTCTCCATTTTCTTTCACTTCTATAGTTCTATGCATTCATTTGTCTTTAGATTAACTTAAGGTTATAACTCTGGGAATGAGATGATATCATGATAGGCTGATTTTCTCTTTCAGTGTTGTGCATGTTTCACAGGGTTGGCAAACTGTCTTTATTGTCAATGATGCCTGATAAATATTGTGAAGCATGATCAGATGGGAGTTGTCTAGCTATTCTTAAATTCTTTAATCTCCCCACCCAACATTAAGTGCTTTGCGTTTTTCTCCATTTTCTTTCACTTTTATAGTTCTATGTAACTGTAAGTCATTAGTTTTTGTACTCTCGTCTTTGTTTTAGTGGTGAATCTTATATTGATGAAGTAAAAGCTAATTTTTGTATATTCTATTCTATACAGTTCCTAAATTGGAACTTCTTTACTCTGTATGGATAGGTTCATCCCATCTTCTTTCCATTTTGGAGATGTTGAATACACAGTATTAGACTTACAGAATTCAAACTATAACTTTCACCCTGATGCAAGACTTGCATTGAGATTGAGTGGGCGAGAGTGTGCTTGCATCTCTACTTACATTTTTTTTTTATCACTCATGTTCTATGGTCTCTTTAAAGATGGTCTATCATATGTGTGCATGCCTCTCTACTCACGTGTGTGCCTGCCTCTCTACTCACTTGTTTGCCTGCCTATCAAATTTTGAGTGTGTATCTTACGCCTTTTTTTGGTAGGCGTGCAAGTGAGAGTGTGTTTGTCTATCGAGTGAGATGTTGAATACAAATTATAGATGGAGATACGGATCTCCGGCTATGAATTTCATACTGAAGAGAGACTTTCTACGCAACTATCGAATGGACTTATGGACTATAGCTGGTCTATCATTTAGTCTTTGTCTTGACAAGGCCATGCTATGGAACTACTCTGTTGGTTTTTTCATCTCTTGCATCTCCTCCTGAAACTCTACGTATTTACCAATCCGTGTATTGCATTTGTGCATAGTCAGTGTAAATATTCCCCAAATACTCTCAATATATCCTAATGTACTTCAGAATTGAAAAGCATGCTTTTGGGTTTGTCAGTAGATATTTGCTCTAAGTTATATTTGAGGACTATGGATGGATATGCAGTTCTGCATTATAACTGTGTTGATGCCTGTCTAGGTACGCGGCCCAACTTGTGCAAGGACGCTAGCCAATTATCTCAAGGAGATAAAGGAAGATGGAGGAATCAAAGACATTTTAGTGCTTGAACGTGGCTATAATGGATGGGAAGCATCGGGGAGGCCCATATGTCGCTGCACCGACGTCCCGTGTAAGGGTCATAGTGGATAGTCATGGACGATGATGTAGCATGTTGTATTAGGAAGCTCCTCGATGTGTGGCCATTCTACAAGCACTCTTTGTTCTTTAAGACACCGCCTGCTGGTCATAAGTCTTAGATCAATTGTTATACTTGCTGGTCTGACAGAGAATATTGATTTTCCTTACATGCAATGGCCAAAGCGCAATACCAGATAATCCGATGTCGTTGGATCTAATTGGGTTTGGCTGCGGCGAAACATATGAAACGCGAAAGATACGAAGCTATCCAAATGTGTAGTAAGGATGCTGAGCTTTTTTACACACATTATTGCCTGCTGTTTCACTGCTTTCTATTTAGAGGAGGCTAGAGATGAACAGGACAATGTCTGCCTCTGTTTGATGATTACTTGAAATCTGCAGAACCAGTTGTGATTCACAGGTGATTGGGCTCTTATATCTCATGATATGATGATTTCTAAGAGACCATAGACAGCAATTATTTGATTTCGTTTCAATCGATACTGTTAATTATCATACAGAGAAATTCGATAGCGTTTGGGAATGTAGAACAACAAACAATTTAATGGCCAAGTTTATTCTCATTGACTTAAAAAGCTTAAATGCCAAGCGTTCATCATGCTAAATCTTGACAGTTAGGTTACATCATCTTATGAAATTGGAATTAGGTCTTAAAAGCATGTTGAGCTCTAATACCACAATCAGTTGGCACTTCTAATAACAGTGCGTCCAACCCCCATCCTTATGATTGAACGTCTAATCAAAGATAGATCGAACCATGTTCAGATGTTTTGACATTGCTCATCAGAAAAGCTGATACATATACTAACCATATTATCGGAACATGTTTATAATTGATTACGAGCGTCTTATGGCAAGCGGTATTGATTTATTTATCATATCTAAATAACCCCGTATTGTTATATATAAAAATTAACTAGGCCCAACTACAATTTGCATTGGCATAAATAATTAACCGACAAAATCATGATTTTGATGGTTAGGAATATAAAGGGGAAAAAGGTTAGCATGACCATTACAAAGAGGTAAAAGTCTACTTTATCTAAAGTTACATGTATTCACGATCGAGTCATTCAACTTTGAATTTAATTATCGAGTCTTTAAATTTATATAGTATTTCTAATTAAAAATATCCTTTGGATTTTACAAGAGTCGTACACATTACTATGGCCCATCAGCAGGTAATATAAGACTAAGATCTCAAAATTAACAGACTATATCTAGATCCATTGCGCTCGAGTTTTCTACATCAGATCCTCGCTAGCTCCAACAAGTAGGTTAGCTTCATTTTATTTGATTTAGAGTTAGAGATACTCAATTAAAAAGAAGTCATGCAAATTCAAAATTTTAATTCAACAAGTAAAAAACTTCCTAACAACTTAATTATAAACAAAGCTCGATAGTCGTTAAATTAAATGAATCGCTGTTTTGAGGACATGCTTTGTCATAAGCTGAAAAGGGTCAAATTAGTTGGTGATTTTTTTTTTCAAATAATTAATCCATAAAAAAAATTAGGGATAATGACACAAACAGTCCTTGAACTTTAGCTCAACGTGTAATGTACTCCTTGAATTTTTAATTTGTTTAATATAGTCCCAAACTTTAGCTTAATGTTTAATGTGGTCTCTCAACTTTTGATTTGTTCAATGTGATCCTGAATTTTTGGTATACGTTCAATATAGTCTCTGAACTATATAAAAATGTTAAATGTAGTCCCTAAACTTAAATTAATAAAAAGATTACATTGAACATTTTAATAGAGTTTATGGACTAAATTGAATATGTACCAAAACTTTAGAGACGATACTTAACAAATTAGAAATTCGAGGACCGCATTACACGTTGAGCTTAAAGTTTAAGAACGATTTGTGTCATTGTCCCTGAATGATACGGAAATATTAAATATAGTACCTGAACTTGAATCAATAAAGAGATTATATTGAATATTTTCATAGAGTTCATAGACTAAATTGAACATATACCAAAAGTTTAGAGACGACATTGAACAAATTAGAAGTTCAAGGATCGCGTTACACATTGGCCCAAAATTTAAGAACATTTTGTGTCGTTGTGGAAAGATCTGTCGGGTCGGGTCAGTACGGAAGTCCAAAACCAAAATCAATTTGTTTTTGGCGGTTCACTCAATTTCTCCCTCCCAAAAGCGTCTCTCCCTCCGTCTCGCTTTGCTCGCTCGCTCTCTCTCATGGCGGACATGGAAGAAGATCAGTACGACGAGAGTTACGGGGAGTTCCTCCAAGAAACTGGACTCTTTCGCGGTACGTATGCTGGAGCTGCAGCAGACGCCGAAGACGACGGAGGAGATGAAGAAGAAGAGGAGGAGGAGGACGAGGACGAAACCGAAGACGACGGGGACGGCGTCGAGTTCATCCCCGTCGAAGAAGAAGAAGGTTCGCCGGCGGTCGACGTCGCCGGCGACGGCGGAGATGCCTCGGCTTCTGATCAAGCGCGATTCGGCGGAGAAGGAGGAGAAGAACCGAGGGATGGGTGGCTGGGAGGAGGAGGAGGAGAGGGGTGTTCTCCGGGTAGATTTGGGGCCGGCGGTGACGATTCCGAGGCGAGCCAGTGGAATCGGGGCGAGATCGACGGCCTCTTTTGCCCCATATGCATGGAAGCTTGGACCGACGACGGCGAACATCACATGTGGTCCGTTTTCCTTTTTTACATCCTCACCGCTCTTTCCAGTCTATCTGAGCTCAATCGCTTGAAAAAAGCACCGTTCATGTCGTGTCATAGGAGATATGTAGCTGTTGGAGTAATGGGTCTGCGCCATTTCTATAAGCTTTTTGCTCTCATAAAAAAATGCAACTTTTGGGATTGGGACTGTCTTCACTGTTGAGTTCTCGGATATATGAAATGTCCAGTTGATAGAAGCAGCATAAGTCGAGGCACATTCGTTATTAAAGGTCATGGCTTGTTTCGGATGCGTGAAATATTTTCGGTAATGCTCTTATTTTGTTATGTTTGACGAGTGCAGTTGTCTTCCTTGTGGCCACATTTATGGCATGTCTTGCATCAAGAGATGGTTAAAGCAAAGGGGGAACTCGGGCAAGGTTTTTACTATCCCTTTTGTTTGTATATGTTCTCTGATCGGTCGGGGCACTCTATTTAATATTCTTATGCTTGTTCTTCTATCTCTTTTTTAGTGTCCTCAATGCAACAGTAAGTGCAAATTGAAAGATGTGAGGAAACTTTTTGCATCACGCCTTGTAACGGTAGACGAGGAGTCTCAGAAGGTAGTTTTAATCCCCAAAGCTGTTGACGTGCTTAGAAGGATGAAAAATGAGCTTACTTGAAATGACAAGCCCTTTTGTTTGCAGAAAATCCGATTCCTCGAGGCCAAATGTGCTTCTCTTGAGAAGAAGGTAGAGATGATTGCTAGAAAATTCTAAGTTAGATTATTGTGTTGCACGGTATACCTGCTTGTTACTGTTAGTAATTTTCTCGACTAAAGTTACCAAAATGTTTTTTTGACCCAAAAAAGAAAAAAGTTACCAAAATGTTCAATTTTACTTGCATATTCTTTTTTGTCTGGTTTTGATTCTACAAGTTCTATCTTTGGTTGGACAAAATAAATATTTAGGGATATCTTTTTAGCAATTATACTTGGGCTCTCTTAACTATTGGATTAGGCAAATTTGTTTCTGTTTGTTCATTTCTCATAGTGCAGAACTGCATTTGTCACACTGATATCTACAGGTTGCTGGTTGGCATATGAGAGAAGTTGAATGGAAAAGGCAAGTAAAAGAATGGCGTGAGCGTATGAACGAATTTGAAAAGAGAGAATCTGAGTTGAATGAGAGGGTTGATCGTCTTAAGGAGGTAGGCTTAATCTACATTTACTTTATGATTTCAATTTTTTTTAGCCATAGACATTCATATAGCTTTAGCAGGTATTACGGTTAGTACTACTTCTTGGGCGACTTGTGAGGTTCTGGTATCTTGCTCCATTGGCATTCACAAGTTTTGAAGTGCAAATTTGCAGGTCCATCCATAGTCAGAGGTTCAAAATAATTTCTATTAGCTCTGTCCATTCTACTATGTGATTCTGGGAGAATGAGGTTTCTGAGCTGTTCTAATTTCTCGGTCATCAGTTGATGGCACTTTTAAGTGCTTTTATTATGTTACTTTTCTGCAAGGATGCTTGTGGTGTTTGTTCACGTCCTCTGCACAATTTTTGAGAATCTTTGTTGCTATTTAGCTGTACAATCAGCAGTGCCATTAAGTGAAGCATCACAAAAATAATAATGTATTTCTTATGATAAGAAATCCATAATCTTATGCAACCTAGGTTATACTGAAGTTTTGCATTGGTTTCTATTTGTTGGCTCCATAGAGGACAACTAATCTAGAGCGCTTCTATGAAGTTTCGAAGAGCAGCCAATTTGGATCTGCTGAAGCTGATGCAGTACGGCAAGGACGATATACATCTGGTATAAATGAATATGCTTCCCATTTGTGAAGTTATCTTACTCCAGGAAAAGTAATCTGATGACTTATATGCTGTAGGTCATGAATGGGGATTTAGGTTTCATGGTGGAGAATCCTCTAGCAATTTTGAAACACAGGTTCAGCTTTATACATTCATTTTGGTTTTGTTTTGTGCTCAAAATTGGATACGTGCTTCGTTAGAAGCTTTTGGATTGCATATGTAGATAAACAAATTTACTTAAACTGGACGAATGGGCTAATTGTGGGGGATAAGAACCAGTTGCTTGTGTAGCTCCAGAAAAGGTAGTCCTTTCACGTGCTAACTTGCGTTTTGACTTTGAAAGACGAAAGTTGGTGAAATGATGTGCGGTTAAAAGTACTGGGTAAGAAAAATCTGGAAAATGGTGAGTTTGCCTCTACATGCATCTCGCAAGACTTGAACATATTAGAAGAAAGTACAGAATTCAATTATGAATTTCAATCTGCATAAAAGGGGAAAAAAGAGAGCCTAGAAAGGGAGGTTGTTGGTGGTAGAATGGATTTTCCTTGAAAACCGATTTGGAAAACAAAGGTTCCGACTAGAGTTTCTTTTTTTGCTTGGGAAGCAACTTGCGTATGAATCCTTACTTTAGATAACCTACAACAAAGAGGCAAAAGTACTAGTTAATAGGTATTTCCTCGGCAAAAAGGAGGCGAAGTCCAGGCAGCAAATCCTCCTTCATTGTTCTTGGACGAGAATGGTTTTGACAGTTTCCTATGCTTGCACTGGGTTCTCTTGGGTTATTGGAGGTTCCATCAATCAAGAAATTTGGACTTGGCAGGGAATTCGTTTACTGCACAACAAGAAAATTAGGATTGCCTCAATTTCTCTCTCTGTTTTTGTTTGATTTCAAATGAGCAGAACTAGATAGCTTTCTATGGAGAAGAACCTTAGGTTTTTATTTTTATTGAGAATTGGCTAAAAATTATAGGCTTTTGGTATAGTGGAAACTTGCATATGGATGTACTTGCCTTGGTTGACATAGTTGATGATTATCTTGTATTTGAGCTCCCTTATGGTTGTGAGAGCTGTTTGCATATGGCTTTAGCTTTTTGGGCTCTTTTTGTATGTGGGTTTGCACCCCCTTGGTGCCCTATAGTCGAACTTTTTATATATCAAAAAGAGAATACCACCCGGAAAGGACTTGCGAATCTTTTTATATAGTAGATTATTTGCCCAGGTAAAGTAATTTATGTGTTTTAGTGTGGCTGCCAGAAAGTTTTGAACAGTGTGTGGAAGGTTATTTGCTTTGGTAGGGGAATTCATTGGAATTTTTCTCTTTTGTTTTCTATGACTGGAGAGTCTACTTTAGGCATATAACAAATGGGGCTCGTGAAAAACCCCATTAGATTCACGAACAGACAAGATTAAGTCGAATCCCAGATAGGTGTTCTAAGATTGAATTTCTCGCACTTTGTTGTGTTGGAATTGAGCATTTGTCATCTTTCTAATCCACCCGTCTGTTTCTGAATAACTTAAAGAACTTTATTGATGGCAAGTTCCTTTTTCATAATTCATATTGTGGGCTTAGTCAAATTTTTTATTGTTTTTTGTTCCTCTTTAGATTGAGTCATTTTTTAGCTTGCTTGATATTTTTATGTGCAATTTGATCCTTCCGTGGCGTAATGTATTTGCTCCTTTAAAATGTAGAAGTGGCAATCTTCCAATGTACCATTGGTGTGCTATTGCTGGTATTTTCATTTTTTATTCTCCTAATTTTTTAGTTTTTCTCGAGTGAGTATTTAATTACAACATCATATGTCAAAGCAGAAAAAATAGACTTCACTTTGCCATACATGTGTTTGGTCGCATCTTTTTAGTGAGTCCACTTAGAATGGTCACTCAACATTTAAAGGAGCAAGTAATGGTAGGTCATGAAAATATCTAATTGCAGAAATCAAGCAAGTTCGAGGAATTGATTGCGAGAAAGAAAGGATGATGAAATTGAAAAAAAAGGGTACAAGTTAAGAGGACCAAATTAGACTTAACCTAGAATTAAATAAGATGGGCTATTGAATCAGTATTGACCCCTCAAGCTCTACTATCCTTAGGAGACTGTTAGATTGGAAGCTTATGTCATCCTTCCACTATGCGCAATAAAATTGTTGATATATGTAATGGTTCCTGCGGTGCTTTTCTGGCTGTTACTATTGTGGTTTCAGACAGGCAATGCAATACCTTGCGGAGCTGAATATGCACGAAACATGTTAACATTGAACATATCCACTTTTCCAAAAGTCATGGTTTTGTACGGGATATTATCTTTGGAATTGGTGTTTTACAGACCGAACTGCGAGTGGATGGTGCACGTCTATTTGATATATGTGCTTCAAGTCAAATGTTAGTTATAGCACGAAGGCTATCCGGTATAGGGATAAGGGATGCGCTCACCAAGGTAAAATTTCTGGACTTTGGCATGAGTAGTTGGTTCGTTTAGCATAAGTACCAACTTCATTTTTTAGTGTAAATGTGCAGATGAGTTTGATATATCCCCACGATACTGAAGATATCATTCTCCCTTCTAGTATTAAAGCTGTTAGAGACCTGCGTATTTCACCTTTTGATGGCAGTCTTGCAATTTTTGCTTCATTGGGAAAGACATTATCAGTTCTCAGGTAGTGTTCTCAGTGGATACTACTCTTTTTGTTTCCCCTTTCTGTGGCCTCATTTTACAAATTTAAATTTGTTTCATCTCTTGTAGTCTTGAAAGCAACAACGTCATCCTCGCCTATGACCTACCGGTACACATATTGTCTCTAGCTATGGCCTGTTTTTCTCCCTGTCCAGGTTATCAGACTTCAGATATTTGTGTAGAAATTTAGAAATGAAGTAAATGAAGCCACCATATTGTATCTTCAATAGTTACTAGGAAGATCATTGTTCTATTGTTTCGGGCATATTTCTTAGCTTTCTTTCCTTGAAAGTGTTCCAACTATTGTAGTTTAATTTTTTTAAAATATCAGCCACACTGCTTATCTGTAAATTTTCAGGTGAATTTTATTGTGAATGAGAATGTATGATTTATGTTGTAAGGCATGCAAACATGTGCACACTCACTTGCACATGTACATGCATGTCTGCTCAGGTACATACCAATAGGCTCAGGTCCATGAGGAATATTATAGCCATTCTATAAGTCGGTTCTGTAAATTTTCAGGTGAATTTTGTTGTGAATGAGAATTTATGATTTATGTTCTAAGGCATGCAAACATGTGCAAACTGACTTGCACATGTACATCATGTCTGCTCTGGTCCATGAGGAATATTATAGCCATTCTATAAGTCAGTTCTGGTCTTCCTCCTGTCAAGGAATATTATACTATTGACGCTTTGCTTTGTGGGAAAAAAGCTAAAATTCGAACTGGTTCCAGTTACTCGAGTCTGCAGTTGATGGAAATGGTTAGTTAAATTCAGTTAATATGCATAGGGCCTACTTTTGGGCCCTATTGTTTAGGAGTAGAGTATCTGACCAGTTATGCATTCAGGTTCTCGATTTCTGTTACTCAGGAAGCAGGAATCAAACTTCTGGACCAAATATTAACCACGGCAAGCCACTGATTCAACCAAAAATAAATCTGCAATTGAGTGTCTATAGAGTCGTGTAACCTAATTTAGTGCTTTTGCCAGTTGCTACTGTTCATGTTCTGCCTTCGTAATTGGTTTCTACTTCTTCCTTTGAGATGATGCATAACTGGTCTGTGTTGTCCATTTCTCTATTTGGCATCTGAGTGCTCCTTCAGTCGTCGCACTCTGCCCCCAATCTTAACTTTAAGTCTGGTTATGTTTTGGGGTATGGGTGTTTTGACATATTTATATTTCAATGTATCTTGACTCTGCTTTGCCAGGCTGCTGCTTGGTCGTGTTCATGGGATCTCAATAATGCTCATCATGTATATGCAGGACTGCAGGTCTGCCTGCTCCTCTTCTTTCCTTTGTTTGCCAACATACATCAGTTCATTGTCAGATTACTCTCTTGTCCATCTTGCAGAATGGAATGCTTCTGGTATTTGATATGCGCCAAACTCTGAAGCCTATGGAATCTCTGGAGGGCCTGTCATGCAACCCAATTCATTCCATGCATTCTCTTCTACATAAGGAGACTCATGGAGCTAGAACCATTTTAAGCGCTTCCTCAATTGGGTTATGTCAATGGAAAATTGATTCTGGTGAAGAAAGGTTAGTTATGGTGGACTTCATAATTTTTTTAGATTAGCATTCACACTTAAATATGATGCAGCAAGGATCGCACAAACTCTCGTGAGTGGTAAGTCGTTCATGGTCCTTAGTTACTTATATTTTCAGAGAGAGCTCAATCTTGAAGTTCTCCTAGCAACCAAAATAACAGAGGCCTTAACAGAGTGTTATGAGAAAAACTGGTGGCCAACTAACCATTGTCCAAATATACCCATTCCTATCACTGTGTTATGGGGCCTGAATGATGGACATTTTTGCATTGCGTGATAGGAAAATCTCTAACAAGGGCTGTGATACCAATTTGATGTAGGGAAAACCCTAACAAGGCGCTCGGATTCCAATTTATGTAGTTGGAGAGGTAAAAAATAGCAAAAGGAACAAAAACGGGGCTAGAATCGAGTTTAATTGGAGCTGGAACCGGGAAAACATATTCTAGGTTTTATAAAAACCAGTGATATTGGCTGAATGAAGAAAAATCTAATGACAAAAGTGAGATAAAGGCTTATTTATGCTATGTCTAAGACAATCTCAATCTTTGATCTAACATAATAACTTCTAATCTCAACCATTGGACCTCATTAAAAGTCACATGACCACTTACAGCGTAATAACTTAAGAAAAAGACTAAATAAGAAGAAACACATGAAAATACTAGAAGTATAATTATATTCCCGCGTCGTTTGGGCTAATATAATTATACTAAGGTTCAAACCCAAAATCTCCTCGTTACTCATGAGGTGATGATCAATTTGGAAAGTGTTGTGCTGCTCAAGCAAAAAAAGCCATGTTGGTTGAGGTATTCACCTTGCAAAGGAGTTGCAGTGGCAATATCTTCCTCCCCGGTGCGCTTTTTTCAGGGCTTGCACAGGCTAATATTCATTGTAAGATTTATAGCTAATATTCTTCCCTATTTATTATTGCTTTCTATATTTACATTGAGATGGAGATGGAGTGACATGCATTGGTCTTTATACTGTAATAAGATCCTTCATCTCTTACTTTCCGATGATGCATTTAAGTTTACATATGGCCTGTGAGCTTGACTCACTGTGATCTCTGGGCTTTAACCTCAGAATTGTTGTTTATAACAGAAAAAGGTTACAAGTTCACCTCCTTTTTGGCAATTAGATTATTGAAGGTCTTGTTTTTCTTTAATCTTTTTGAAGGCCCACTTTGGTATCTGAATCAGCAGATGGAGGAGTTTGTATATCCCTTGCTTATTGTCCAAGCAGTGATGATGTAGTTGCCACATACCGTCCCAAAGTGGAGATGTATAATGAGGTCACTACTTCTCAGCCTTTATCCACTCCTAGTCCTTCTCCTGTAGGGGGACGAGCAATTCAGGGCTATCACATGCACTTCAGGAGAGCAGGGAGCTCTTATCAGAAATTGGGTACTACTTGTGCGAATGTGAGTGATGTTCGCCTCCCCAAATCTGCAATTGTTAACCTAGAGAATCGGAATCAGCTTTTTGCTTCGGGAGATGAAGCGACCAATCAGTTGATCTTGCAAGAAATACCATCATTTTCAGTTTCTCAGCAATTTCAACTGCAGAAGCATCCTTTCCGTGATGTCAAGTACACGAGCACCATGAACCAAGGCTTATTAAGTTGTTTAAGTGAGGATTCATTGCAGATTTTCAAAGCCAAGCCTGCATGATAAAGGTAAATCGTAGTAATATCTCTGTTATTTTCCATTAGCACGGTGGTTTGTGAACTGGTTTGGTTAGCTCGTCGTGTTGAACAGAATTTAGCTCATAAAACTCTAGAACATTATCGGCTGATGTACAGACGTTTTCTTTCTTGGTTGGCCTCATGCAGACTATCAAATCTAGGAGATCCTTGGGGGTTTGGTTGCGTTTTTTCCCCAGCAATCTGATTTGGCTTGTCCATGACAGACAGGGAAAAAGGTAAGATCACAAATGTATGGTTGGATCAACTTGCTTTTAGTTTTTGCTGTTGTGATTGGTCCATAACTCCATGGGCAGCACTTGAATCACATGAAAGTCACCGTACTTCTCTTGTATCCTTTTGAGCAATGAATACAATTTTCTTTCGACAAAAAAAAAATCATATGGATTAGAGAACTTTGCAATCGATTAATTATACATTATACATTGTTAGGCATCTTCTCAGTGTTTATCCGTTCGTACTTTTAATTGGGAAAGTACTATACTATTCTAGTAGCTAAGTAAAAGAATTGTTCATTGGAGTTGAAGAAGGAATACTTTGATTAAAAAGGAAAAAAAGATCAGGTCGAACGTGTTTATATACTCGTCCTTTTGAAAGCATTGAGTTCTATTAGTAAAATTGAGATCAAGGTATGTTTATGTTCAGTCGAAATACATTTAGCATGCCCAAAATGATTTTGTTTCTTACAAATAGCGAGTACACGATTAGGCAATCAGGCGAGGATTCAACATTATCACCTTCCTCGGCATAAAAAATAAAAAAAAGAGAAGGCGGTTTCATGATCGAACTTGTGGGCAGCAAGAGCGTTGGGCTTAAAAGGAAATTTAATCTAAAAGCTTAAATAGTTAGATAAAGAGGTTACATGTGTGTAAAGGTCTAACGATTGATGTGGGATAACGCTGTAATCGTCGTCCGATATGCCAATTGGACTGAAAAATGCACGGTAAATCTAAGAACGGTGAATTAAATGAGAAATAAAACTTTCAAAGGGATTTGAATAAAGAAAGTCTAATTCAAAAACTTTCGAAGGGATTTGAAGACAGAAAGTCTAATTCAAAAAGAAGGCGAAGCGGGGAAATCACTTTAACAGAGAATGCTCACGTATATTAATGCTTAAATCACCGCCAATACAAAAACCAATGAAGCTTTTAGGCGAGTCGTGATAAAAAACCTAAGGGATCAAAACTGTGAAATTGAGGAATATTTGCATAATAGTAAAACGAAGATAGAATGGAATGTTTTTGGTTTTGTGAGATTTAGTAGGACCACAGCCAACTGTTCTAAAAGTTTAAACTGTTAAATGAAGGAATCATAGTCTGGTCTTTTTACTTAATACTAAGTTTAAAAGCTTAAGCCGTTAGAGTAAGGCGTGGTTTAATATGTAAATATACTAATAGGTTTGAAGGGAACCAAATAACCATGGGGTGAAAGTGGTTAAAGATATAGAGACTGTGAGAGGGAAAAGAAAAGAAAAAAAGCCACGAGTATCCGTTTGTTTCGAGGAAATCGAATGATTTAGAAAGTAATTTTCAAAAATATTCGCTTATATCGTTTGAAATTATTAATTAATGAATATTGTTTTTATTATTCGCAGAGATTTATGTTCAAATTTTTTTGTGAACGATAAAAATATTTTTCGTTTATTCATTTTTATATGCGATACAAATGATCATTTTTTTAAAAAATATTTTCCGAAAATCATTCATTTTCCGCGAAATAAACAGAGGATAAACACTTAATTTTTTTACGATTGAAGTTGACTGTATACATTACTTCGTTAAAAGTTCGAACAAAGGGTATTTTTTAAAAGATCAAATCTTATTTTTAGAAAATTCAAGTCGTGAGCTTTTCGTGAGTGCAAAAGTCGGGTCATGTGAACATAAAAGTCACATGCAGGTAAAGTTTGGTCAAATTTGGCTAAAACTTTTATGAATATAATTTTTTTTTATAATTTCAACAAAAAAAAAAGGCTAACTAGCGCCGTTTGGTCCCCAGGGTAGCCCAGCGCTAAGCAAAAAAAAGCCCAATTCGCGTTACTAACTTGATTTTTCTTTTTGCGAGATTATTCTGGGTAAATGAAATAGGCTCGTCCTAATGCTAAGATTAGGCTAGAATATTTAGTAAAATAGCCGTCGCTCCGTTGGCTTTGAATTAAGCTTTTCCTGAATAAATAGATTGTCATAAAGTTGAAATTAACATTTGAAAAAACAAAAATATATACACTTATAGTTTGCTGAAATATACGATAAATTTCTATAGTTTCCCCAGGCCATTATTATACTTGTTCAAATAATTGCATTAGAAAGCCCCATTGCATGAAGCCAACCCCACAAATCGAAATAACGAGGGAAATTGTCCGAGAATACTTATATTTTCCAAAAAAATATTTTTCAAACTATAGTTCTTTTCTCTGAACATATTTCGAGCTTTGAAAACCCTACAACGAGCTCGAAAGGACGAAAATACCCGAATCTAAGTAGGGCAAATAATAACATGGCTCCGTGAATTTCAAAAGTCAAAACTAAGCTTGCATGATGACTAAATAAAGCGTCACTTAGTCACTTGCATGCATATACACATCAGAAAATTAGAACGCACGCATACTGGCGCATCATTAATCACATTTCCAAAATGCAAGTACACACGACATGCAGTCAGTCGGGCATAAATAAATGAGGAGGAATCTTTTCCTGATTATGTCTTTGAAAAAATCAAAATTTTGCCTCGATATTTTAGGGAATTATTTGGTAATTGCATTGAAATGACTTAATTGAATAATGCAGTATCGAAAGAGTGTCGTAGGATGCTAAGCAAAACCCTTTTTCCATTGTAGTAGCCGTGCTATCTCTAGGATCCCTGATCCCGAGATGAAGCAGAGGCCGCTACAAGAGGGAATAAAAGTGCCATCTTTCTTTGATAAGCGATAAACTAGGAACAAGTCGTATAGAATGACTCATAGACTTATTAACATCGTTGCATGACTGTGTCTCTCAAAATTTCTTGCAAGTGGTGCGCATAATGCCTAATTTTTGGACTTGATGATGCGCAGTGTCGAAGAAGCATTCCATATCTCTCCAAGCGACCAATGGGACGCGCCATCTCCAAAGAGAAGAAAGTTAGAGGATTTGATTGAACAAAATAAAAGTTGGAACACCAGATCGTACAAACGATGAAACTTAAGGTACTGAGGGTGTGTTTGGTTCAGCATTCCCAATGAACTTTCAGCCTCGAAAGCCCTTTAGAGAAATGCTGAGGCGTTTGGCGAGTATTTCTGATGGGCTTTTGACCGAAAGCCAGCATTGGGAATGTTGAAAGCCCAAGGCTAGTCCGGACTAGCTTTGGGCTTTCAGCATTTGCCTGACGCTGAAATCAATTTTTTTTCTTCCCAAACTATCCTCACTAATTCTTTAATATTCTAATTTTGCCCCTCATGACTGTTCATCTTCTTTGGGCTGAAGGCAGCCGGCCAGAGCCGCCCAAGGCCAAATCGGGACGGAGAAGTGTTGACGAGGGGCCAGCGAGGTCGCCCGACCCCGATGATGGCCATCGGCGGCTGTAGCCCATCGTCGGCTCTGGTGAAAGGTAAGCTTTTTTTTTTTTAATAAAAAAAACCCAAAGTCCTTTGCAAAATAAGATTTGCCAAACACTACTTTGCCCAAAAGTAGCTTCACAAAGGATTTTTTACCAAAAGCAATTTGCATTTCCCCAAGGAGCTTTAAGTTAAAGGTATTTGCATTCGTCTAAAGCCCCTTGGGAATGCTGAGCCATACGCACCCTGAATTTGTACTTAGCCCAAACATTATTGTTATCTTTTGTGGCGGGCTCATCCTCAATATCTTTTTCATTGGTTTTGTTGCATTACTGTGGTCGTGAAGGTGGATCAAACATTCCTATTAAACAAGTGTTATCATATAACTTTTAGAAAAAAAAATTGTTATCATATAAGGTAAAAGGACTTAAAATTACGACTCCATTTATTTCACGAAAAATAAATGATTTAGATAGTATTTTTCAAAAATACTGAATGAAAAATCTTTTACATCGTACATGAAAATGTATATACATAATGGTTAATACCACGAAAAACCTCAAACTGGTATATTTGTGACAAATTTACCTAAAACTAATTTTTTGACTACAAAAAACTGTAAATTGGTATACTTGTGATAAATTTACTATAAGTTAAATTGGATTAATATAAAACAAAACCACATATTCGTATATCTGTGACAAATGGAGGGTAAAATGCCAAACTGATACATCCATCAACTGCCACGTGTCATTTAACTCAGTAATTTGACAGTAAAGTTTAACGAAAACTAACGGAGGGTAAATTTATCACAATTGTACCAATTTAGAGTTTTTGGTGGTCAAAAAATTAGTTTGGAGTAAATTTCTCATAAGTGTACCAATTTGGGGTTTTTCGTTATATTAATCATACATAAATTGTCATCGATAATGAAAATATTTTTCATTGACTAATTATTTTAAGCGATACAAATGATCATTTTTAAGAAAATGTTTTCCAAAAACATTTATTTTCCGTGAAACGAACGCTTGAAATGATCATTTTTAAGAAAATATTTTCCAAAACATTTATTTTCCGTGAAATGAACAGAACCGTATAAAAATAAAACCTTAAGGCCAGAAAAATATAGATAAAGACAAAAAAAGTCCGACCTGCCGGATTCGAACCAGCGACCTAAGGATCATCTGCAACGACTACAGTCCTCCGCTCTACCAACTGAGCTAAGGTCGGATGGATGACACTTCTTCCACCTTTAAATAATAATATTATTAATTACTCTTCCGACAAAAATGTAAATAAGAAAAGGCAAAGCTAAATAATCTCAGAGGAATAAAATTTCTTTCACTAATTGGTTTATGGTTTGACTTGGAAATTTCTGAAATTAATCGACCCAATTTCATCATCGTTCTCTCCCTTTCCACGAAGTACTTGTGATTTCTCCTTTCAATGAATTATGGGATAACTTGCTTACGATATCATTTATTTTATCGAAACAAAAATTTTCATATATAAAAAAACTAGTTGTCTTTTCATATATAACTTGCCTATGCATGCGCATGCTTGAGAATGGAGAAAATAAATAATAAATTATTTGAGTTTTTTAGGGAGTGATTTTAGTGGAAATAATTACACCGTGCTTCAAAAAACCACCCACTTAAGTGTGTATAAAGACAGATTTGGATTTTGATATTGTAAGAATCATAGATATATTGAGGGCATTTAAGCATATTAGATAGTGGACATCGGATTCAAAAGTTCCTTTTATATATAGCATGAATAAATAGATAAAATACCGATCAGAATTGCGCTCGAAATAAAAAGAAAACTCTATCTGGTCTAGTACTAAGCATAGATACTAATCAAAATACTTGGTTTGCTCATTGTTTGACTCAATATCAAGTTTACA